GAGTCTTCATAATGTGCTACATTTTATAATGTGTTTTCACTTGTTCCTCACAACAGTCCAGTTATTATCCTTTTGTACAAGCAATGACACGGAAGCTCAGAACAGTTCTATAACTTTTCCAAAAAGTCCCATCTAGACCTCAAACAAAATCTCACTTCAAAGTCTGTACCCTCCCCATTATGCTCTGATGACTCAGGAGAGTGCCAAAGGATTATCATCAAATATCAAAATACACAATATTAAGTGGCCAGAAAGGAGATAGTTGTTGGACAGGAATAAGGAAAGGCTTTAAACAGAGGTGAGATTTGGTACTAAAGACACCTAGAATCAGAATGGCCAGGCATCCTGGAGAATAGGTTAACGATGAGGAAAAGAATACTTGTGTTGCAGGGGATGTCCAGGGATCTAGCCTGGTTGGAGCAATGGCACAAGAGAGACGAGACCCACTAGGGTCCTGGGTGCAGGGAGACTTAAGTTTGATTTTAGTTCTCAATGCCTCATGGAAAGCCACTGTAGGTTTTTCATTTCTCATTCTGTTGCCCAGGATGGAGTACAGTGTTGTACTCCATCCAGTATTGATCCCAGCTCATTGCAGCCTTGAACTCCTGGGATCAAATGATCCTCCTGCCTCCCAGGTAGCTAGGACTGCAGACACACCACCACACCTAGCTAATTATTTTTTGTAAAGGGGTGGTCTCTCTCTGTTTCCCAGGCTGGTTTCGAACTCTTGGCCTACAGTGATCCTCCCACCTCAGCCTCCAAAAGTACTGGGATCACATGAGAGAGCCATTGTGTGTAGCTGACCACTGAGGGGTTTCAAAGAATGGAAGTGGCACTGCTGTACTAAATGACTAGAGGCCCCAGTCATGTGGCCCAGAACTGAGGTTAACTGGGCTTAGAAAGTAATAACTGAGACAGGACAAACCTAAAAAAAAAAAAACCCAAAAACCTTTTGAATGAAAAATCAATGGTTGTCCCAATTGTGGCCGAAAATGGCCTGGTATTCAAGTGAGGGGTTTTAGGGCTATGGATTCATCAGCATGCAGAGATAACAACTGAAGTGAGGCACAGTAAGGTGAGGGCTCATGAGTGAGCCACAGAAGATGCTGAAAATACTTGTGATACATGGAATTTATCTTCCTTTTGTGATGAACACACACGTAAGTGGCACGGATATTTTGCTGAAATGGAGCTTGCTGGTTTCCTCTCTAGCTCTTCCCCATAAAACAAATAAGCTATGATTTTTTTAAGTGAAATGCCACTTTTATATCAACTACCTGACAGCTCCACCTAGATGTTTCCTAGACATCTTAGATATTACATTTCCAAAAAATTTTCTTCCTTTCAAAACCCACTCCTCTTCATCCTACTAAATGGCATCGCCATTCATTCAGTTGCTAAGGCCTTTAAAAAATCTTGGAATCTAGACCAGTGGTCCCCAACCTTTATGGCACCAGGGACCGGCTCTGTGGAAGACAATTTTTTCATGGACTGGGTGGGGCAACGATGGTTTCAGGATGAAACTTCCACCTCAGATCATCAGGCATTAGTTAGATTCTTATAAGGAGCACACAACCTAGATCCCTTGCATGTGTAGTTCACAACAGGTTTCATGCTCCTATGAGAATCTCATGCCACTGCTGATCTGACCAGAGGCGGAGCTCAGGTGTAATGCTCGCCTGCCCACCACTCACCTCCTACTGTGCAGCCTGCTTCCTATCAGGCCACAGACCAGTACCAGCCCAGGGGTTGGGGGCCCCTAATCTAGAGAATACACCCCACAACCAATCCATCAGCAACTCCTGCTAACTACGTTCAGCTAAATTCTCCCCACCTCTTCTGCTTGCCTGGTCCAAGCCAGTATCATTTCATGCCTAGATAGAGCAACAGCCTATTAGTCTTCCTAGTTCCACACAGCAACCTTTTAAAACTTTTAAAATTTATGTCAGATCATAATACTTCTGTGTTAAAAATCCTCTGTGACGGCCAGGTGCGGTGGCTCAGGCCTGTAATTCCAGCACCTTGGGAGGCCGAGGCATGTGGATCGTCTACGGTCAGGGGTTGGTGACCAGCCTGGCCAACATGGTGAAACCCCGTCTCTACTAAAAATACAAAAATTAGCCGGGTCTGGTGGCACACCCCTGTAATCCCAGCTACCCGGGAGGCTGAGGCATGAGAATCGCTTGAACCTGGGAGGCGGAGGTTGCAGTGAACTAAGATTGTGCCACCACACACCACCCGGGCGGAAAAACAAAGCCCCCCCCCAAAAAAAAAAAAAAAAAATTCCTCTGCGGCTTCTTTTTCAAAAAGCCCAAAGCCTTACAACAATGGCCCACAAAATACAAAGTACACAATCTGATTATCAGTTAACTCTCTGGCTTCATCTATTACTGTCTCCCTGATTCCACTCCAGCCACATTAGCCTCCCTGCTCCTCAGACATACCAGGCATAGTTCTGCTTCTAGGTCTTTGTCCTGAGTTCCTTCTGCCTGGCAAGCTCCTCCCCGCACCAGACAGTATAATGGCTCTTTCAGAACATTCAGATCTCTACTGCACCTTATCAGAGTAGCCTGACCACCTTTATCTAAAACAAAACGACCCCCTCCCAGAATTGCCTATTTACTTACCTCATTTGTTTTGTTTTGTTTTTGAGAAAAGGTCTTGCCATGTCGCCCAGGCTGGGAGCAGTGGTGAGTTCATAGCTCACTGCAGCCTCAAACTCCTGGGCTCAAGCGATCTTCCTGCCTCAGCCTCCTGAGTAGTTGCGACTACAGGTGTGAGCCGCCACACCTGGCTAATTTTTTTCTTTTTTGTTGAGACAGAGTCTCCCTATTTTGCCCAGGCTGGTCTCAAACTCCTGAGTTCAAGCCATCCTCCCACATCGGCCTCCCAAAGCCCTGGGCATCAGCCACTGTGCCTGGCCCTGTTTTCTTCCTACCATTTATCACCAGCTGATATTTTATATTTGTTTATTTTCTCCTTCATCTCCACAAAGCATTTTGTGAGAGCAAGAATTTTTTGTTCATGCTTACATTCTCAGTGTCTTGCACATAAAAGTTGCTCAATAAATTTCTGTGAATCAAAGACCACTTTGTTGATAGACTGTAATATTCTCTTATTTCTCTCTACTCGCTTTATACAATCTGATGTGCTGTTCCTACCAAATGAGACAATCAAAATGAGAATATTAATACATCTGCTCAACTGTGAAAAGATGCTGGTACTGTGGGGGAAGGGATGGGAGCACTGGGTAAAACTATGGTAGCTTGTCTAATGCTTCATTGCCCACTTGAGACTTCAAGACGACACGGTACACTAGATAAGAATCACTGCACACGACAGTACCTGTGCAATAGGAACCGCACACAGGGTTACTCCAAAGCCAACCGTCACAGTTTTGTGCCATGGTCTTATCAATTCTGAGAAACACCGCTTCTTAAAGTTAGCCACAACAGGAACACACAAACACTGTCTGTACCTGGAAGTAGAAGTCAGATTTCATAAGGCACGACCGCCAATCTGTAACAGGCTCTTGGATTTACTTGCAGGGGCTGTAAACTCAAACTCGAGCCAAGCAGGAACCTAAATGAGGATGCAGGACAGCTGAGGGGTTTTGAAATTTTCAACATACAGCAAGTTTAAAATGTTGCCTCAGGTAGGGTGTGGTGGCTCACGCCTGTGATTCTAGCACTTGGAAGGCCAAGGGCAAGGCGGGAGGATCACTTGAGCCCTGAAGTTCACGACCAGCCTGGGCAACATGGCTGACAACATGACCTGGTGTCTATTTAATAAAAAAAAAAAAAAAAAAAAAAAAGAAGGCCGGGCGCGGTGGCTCACGCCTGTAATCCCAACACTCTGGGAGGCCGAGGCGGATGGATCACTTGACGTCAGGAGTTCGAAACCAGCCTGGCCAACATGGTGAAACCCCGTCTCTACTTAAAACACAAAAATTAGCCCGGAGTGGTGGCACAGTCCTGTAATCCCAGCTACTCGGGAAGCTGAGGCAGGACAATCGCTTGAATCTGGGAGGCAGACGCCGCAGTGAGCCGAGAGCGCCCCACTGCACCCCAGCCTGGGCAATAGAGCGAGACTCAGTCTCAAACAAAACAAAACAAAATTAGCCGGGCGTGGTGGCAGGCGCCTGTAATCCCAGCTACTCGAGAGGCTGAGGGTGAGAATTGCTTGAACCCGAGAGATCTCGCCACTGCACTCCAGCCTGGGCGAGAGAGCCAGATCCTGTCTAAAATAAAATTGAAATAAAATAAAATAAAAAAAAAAAAATAAAATGTTGCCTTAAAACATTTTAGAAACGGATGCCACAATAACCGCTCCTGCAGGCAGGATTTAGCTCTGGACCCCTGGCCTGGGTGTCAGGTGTGTGTGACGGTCCCGCTACAATCGCCCAAAAGCCTGCAGGGCTAGGAAGGGAGCCCCGCGCCGAGGTCCCCCGCGCCTGCTCCCCGGGCCCCTTCTGCCTTCGGGAAGACGTCCTCAGACGCTTCCCTCCCTTCCCAGGCTCCCCCATGCCGTGTCCCTCCTCCTCTCCACGTCTTTTTAGGGATTTCGAGGGGCTGACGCGAGCTGGTCGGGAGGCGGAGTCGCCCCAAGAAGGCAGCCTGGGGTCTAGGGGATTCGTTTCTAGAAAATGGACGAACTGAAAACGAAGCCGGCTTGACCCAAGGGGCGGAGGCGGGACTGTCGTCAGTCCTCCCGAGCGGGGCGAGACGCCGCTACCCAGCTGGGCCGACGAGGGACATGCGCGTAAGAAAAGCGGGCGCCGCGGGCCGGGCCACAGCGCTGTCCGCGTCGGTCCCTCCCTCTGGTCCTGTCCCCTCTACGCGGCGGTAGCGGTACCTGAAGAGTGAGGTTACACTGCGCGACAGCCAACTCTTCAGAGCCGCCATCGTACAGCGGGCCGACGCCGGGCGCACACGCCGGAAGTGACGCAGCTTCGTGAGCGCGGGGCCGGGCACGGCCTCCACCAGAGAGCGCCTCACCCCATGGCCACGCCCCCACCCAAGGACGCAGTCGGGATTGGGCAGACAGGGGGAAAGGGGGCGAGGCTTAGGGCAACGGCTGTAACGGCCGCGCAAGGCAACCAACCGCTGAAACTTCCGCGTGGGGTGGGGGGGCATACGCAGAGCCTGAGGGCGCGGAGCTGAGTCGGACACCGTGACGCTACGGGTGGGCGGGGACTCAACTCCGGCCAGATCTTGAAGGGAATTCCCTGGTGAGTTGGGGAGGCGGGGCCGGGCGGGAGGCGGGGCCGGGCGGGAGGCGGGGCCGGGCGGGAGGCGGGGCCGGGCGGGAGGCGGGGCCGGGCGGGAGGTGCGGCGGCGGCGCTGTCACTTCAGCACCAGGAAGTAGGTGGTCCAGCCGGCCAGCAGCAGCGCCCCGATGAGCACCGTGTAGCTGAGGAGCACGAAGGCGAGCAGCTCCCGCAGCAGCTGCAGCACGTGGACGGTGGACGAGGCCGGCATCGCGCTGCGCGGGAGACCTGGGACGGTCGGCACGCTGCCGGGCTGGCGCCGTCCCAGAGGGGCGGACGGGAACACACGAGGCCCTCGAAACAGCAAACGAAGGCTAGGAAGCCCACAGTGCCGACCTCCCCAACAGCCTCCTGGACGCTCGCTTCTCGGTTACACTGGAGAATCCTTCTCAACCCAAACTGCCCTCGTTCTTTGGCTCTGATCCGGGCTGAGGAGTCAGAAGCCCGGCTCTTCCCCGCGCCCCGCAGCTGCATGAGTCTTCCTCCCGGCTCGCTCCTCCCACCACCACCTCCTGCATTTTTAATGCTGTGAGTGCCGCTAATGGGCTGGTGGAGTATAGCTTTCTTTTCCCGTCACTCAAGCTGCAGCCCCAGCTGCGGCCCTGGCTGGAAGGGGAAGAGGAGACCCATTTTGGCAGGAGGAAGGCACAGGCCCAAACCTGCCCTTCTGTGAGTCCCCTGGCCCCAAGGCTTGCCAGCAGCAGAGATGGAGGATCTTTGCTTTGTGGTCCGGCATGCTTGCCTTCTGGCCAGCTGGAACTGCAGGGTGCCAGGTGGTGGGTGGGCATCAGTCCGATCCTGGGCTCACCTCCCCCACAATGCTCTGTACATCTGCCCCAGCCCTGCTAACTTCCACAAGAGACGGCATCAGACAGTAAGAACCCCACACCAGCTCATCAGACAGTAGGAACCCTACAGCACCTCCAAAGCTGCTTTGCCCAGCCACTCCCCGCAGTGTCGGGCACTGGCTTCCTTCTCTCCCCACCTCACTTACTTGGCAAAGTTTCCACGACTCTTCCACCCTGAAGCTCCGCGGTTCCGTCTGCTCTGGTGCCCAAAGGTAGCTTGTGTGTATTGCGCGATCTCGGTAGAACTGAGATTTTCAAGCAGCGGCACTCAACTAGGTGTGGTCTAGAGACCAATTACAACCTCCGCGTGGTCCCCGAGCTCTTAGCGAGCTGCGCACAGGCGTTCCCAGCCCAGACGGGGCGCTGGCAACCCTGCACGCCCTCCGCCTGTGTCGCCACCACAGCCCACAGGGCTCAGATGTGGTTTCACAGACCCAGATGGGCTGAGCAGGCGGTACACTAGTGGGTATTTCAAGCCCCTTCTTGTTTTTTTCTGAATGTTGTAGGGGGTTATGGGGTTATAGTGCCAATAGTTTCGTTTCTAACAAACACATTGAGAGCAGTCCCATCTCCTCCTCGTCTGGGCACCAGAAGAACCACTGGACAGTGTTCACTTGCGACCGCCCAACTACTAAAGCAAAAGCTGTTGTCTTAAAAAAAATGCAAGTGCAAACACGCACGTGTGTGAGAACCAGGCTTAAGTGACCGAGATCTCCTGAGTGCTTGATTCCGGTTTACAAAGTTTCGCAGCTTACAGACTCATTATACAGGTACCTTCCCAATGTGACACTTCCAATTTCACCTCCACAGAATGTGAGGCAAAAGGAGCCAGTAAGGATTTCTGCAAAGAACAGACACTTTCCCAGGTGCAACAACAAAGGAAACGAAAGCATAAACTATGCTGCTTCTGATTATTTTGCTTGTTGCAGTAGTTTTTAGTTCAAGACTGTTTTCTGACCTTTGAAAGAGCAGGCAGTGTGGACATCAACCCTTTTATCAACATCATCATCCAGAAGCAAATGGCTCCTTAATTTAATCAGGATCTCTTATTATCAAATTATTGCCTTGGCCACAGTGAGGCTGAAAACAGGAGCAGAACATTATCAAGCTGCTCAGGAAGCCAGTGAGTAGTAATTACTCCCCCAGAGAACTGGTCATCTTCCGTGTCCTACCTAGTGGAAACGGAGTATAGCTGAGATTTATACCCTCCTCCACACCAAAATAATGGATGAAACAGACAGGCTATTAAAAATAGGCCTGATTCTGTTCCCTTTTAACTCTCACATCCTTCAAATGGATGTCTCCAGGCAGTTAAGTGTTCTAGCCTTTGCAGCTCCTTGTTACCACCCGATTTTGGGTGTTTTACAGCAACGGAGTAACTTAAGCTAAGAAACACTATGTGGCTTGAAATTCACACTAATCCATTTAGAAATGAAAGAACCAGAAATTTTAAATAACTGCCTTTTTCTTCTGTTGTCTGACAAAAAAGGTATCCTTTATTTTCTATAGGATGTCATCATTAAACCACATGACTGAATATATCAGACTCTACAATAAATTCAGTCTAAAGATCATCTATGTGATGTCTGCATTTTTTGCCTCACCATCTTTATCATAGTCCCTCTTACTGTCTGCTTTAGACATCCAGTTCATTTTGATATTTTAAAAAGAGTATTTCAGCTGGTGTGGTGGCTCACATCCATAATCCCAACACTTTGTGGGGCTGAGGCAGGAGGGCCGCTGGAAGCTAGGAGTTCGAGACCACCCTGGCCAACACAGTGAGACCCGTTACTACAGAAAATTAAAAAGATAATAACTTTAATAAAAAAGAAAAAAATAATTATTTCTCTTAAGGCCAGGAGTTTGAGCAACATAGACCCTGTCTCTAAAAGGAAGAAAAAAAAATTAGCTGGGTGTGGTGATACTTTCCTACAGTCCCAGCTACTCGTGAGACCGAGGCAGGAGGACTGCTTGAGCCCAGTAGTTCAAGGCTGCGGTTAGCTATGATTGTGCCACTGCACTCCAGCCTGGGCAACAGAGTTAAGACCTCATCACAAAAAAATAATTTCTTCTTGAATTAAACTCTGCTCAATTCAAACACTTCCTCCTGGTGACAGGCTGGTCTTTAATGTACAACTGAGAACAAGACAGACCAGCACGTCATGCTTAATCATAATCCATTTCCAGTGAGGGCAGATCTGAATGGAACAGAACTCACAGTGAGACTGTCCCAGTTTTCTCTGAGAATTAAATGTGCTGTTTTAAATCATCCCTCTTTCAACCATTACTCTTTTGTTCCACAATTAACAAAATACTTAATTCTCTGTTGGTTAGAATTCAACACTGTATAGCAAGACACAAAACAGTGTCTATGTAGACTTCTTTATTAAGGGGGCTGCTGGTGTAGAACTGTCTACCCAACGAGACAAAAGTCCAGACATGATGTAAACAATCCACTCTCTCCAACAATAAATGTACCGTTCACATATCCTTTCTCAGTAAGGGCACACTCTTTTGAGACAAAGACTGCTTCAAGTATTAAATGAACTTACTCAAAGGCGTGTAATATATAATCATCTACCACTTTCTATTTGCATACAAATGAAGCAATTGATGTTTTTCAGTCTTCTGCTGAATGCATTTTTAGGAGCTGACCTAACTATTCTCTGAGCAAGCAAGTATAGAGTCTTGGGTGAGTGTAGACACATGAGACTACAACTAAGTATCTGTTCCCAGGACAGAATCTCCAGCTAGGGAGACCTGACCAGATTGAATTGAGCCCCAGGAACCAAAAACGTGGAGGGGCAGGATGGATTTCATTCTCTAAAGCAGCTGATGACTGCCTGAGGTGGAAGGTATAAACTAATCTCCCTGGGATATAACAAGTATTTGAAAACGGATTTTCTACAATGAGAATGGTTTTCTTTAAGACATTTCCAAATACTGAATATTAAGGCCAAATTAATTCCATGAGAAACAAATCTTTCAATTATTATCTCTACCACCCTTCATTCCTTTTTTTTTTTTTTTTTTTTTGAGATGGAGTCTCGCTCTGTTGCCCAGGCTGGTGTGCAGTGACGCGATCTTGGCTTACTGCAAGCTCCACCTCCCGGGTTCACGCCATTCTCCTGCCTCAGTCTCCCAAGTAGGTGGGACTACAGGTGCCCGCCACCAGGCCTGTCTAATTTTCTTTTTTTTGTATTTTTAGTAGAGATGGGGTTTCACCGTGTTAGCCAAGATGGTCTTGATCTCCTGACCTCATGATCCACCCGCTTCGGCCTCCCAAAGTGCTGGGATTACAGGCTTGAGCCGCCGCATTCTTTTATTAAAGAGATTTTTAAAAGTATACAGAATTTCTCTTTCATTACTAGTATTTACCGTGCCCATCAGAACTCCACTAATGGGCAGGGCACAGTGGCTCACGCCTGTAATACCAGCACTTTGGGAGGCCGAGGTTGGCCCATCACCTGAGGTCAGGAGTTCAAGACCAGCCTGGAAAACATGGTGAAATCCCGTCTCTACTAAAAATACAAAAATTAGCCAGGTGTGGCGGTGCACATCTGTAATCCCAACTACTCAGGAGGCTGAGGCATGAGAATCGTCTGAACCCAGGAAGTGGAGGATGCAGTGAGCTGACGTCGCACCACTGCACTCCAGCCTGGGCATGAGCGTGAGACTCTGTCACAAACAAACAAACAAACAAACAAAACCAAAAAAAACTCCACTAATGAAAAAGGTGGGGAAAAGCAATGTGTAGTTACTAATCAACAACCAAAGCCACACCTCGCTGGGACCCAGAAAAGCAGGGGACCAACTAATTCTGCTAGCGGCTTGGGCAAGGGCAGCAAAGCTGCCAATCTGACTTGGTGCCCTTGGTGCCTTAACTCCTCCAGAAGCTGAGATGGAGCAGCAGAGAGGCAGAGAACACATGGATTTCCAACTTCTCCTCCCACCTCCTGCCCTCCACCACAGCCTGACAGTCTCCCGCAGGAGTAGCAGCAGCTGTGACTGCTGGGCTCCAAGATCAAGAGATACACCTGGAGAAGGCTGAGGCCACCAGAGAGGGGGCTGAAACAGTGTTTTCAGCAGAGTAGGGAGTGGCCACAGACTACTAGAAAAGTGCATGTGGCAGTTACCATGGAAACAAAGTGGCCAGATGCTGAAGAAGCACGAGTTGCCCCTCCTCATCGTGGGACCAGTTGGATGTTGGGCCCTTGATGGACAGGAGAGAAAATGGAAACCTCAATGGAGGCATCCACCACTGCTGTGTCTGGAGTTACCAAGTGGGCTAAGAAACTGTCTTTGAACTCTTTCAAAGGCTGAATTCCAGAAGGCTGCTCCTCAATTATCACATTCTTCCATGTCAAAAGCCCCTGATAAGTATGGAACCTACAGAGATGTAGCTGATCGCATAGAGCATAAACTTTGTTTCTGGGCAAGAAGCTCCTCTAAACCTCTTGCTTTGTAAGAAGTAGAAGGAAGCAAACTTGCCTTAGTGATCAGTTGCGACAGCGACTGATGACCCTAAATATAATCTCCCATACTCTGCAGGAAAAAGAAATCTCAACTCAGTGATAAAATGATCTCTAGCTCCCAACACTTAACCACTGTCCTAGGCCTGATGCACCCTGAAGAAATACAGCACTGGGGAATAGGGGATGGACTTTCTCTTTTTATTTTCAGTTTCACCTCCTCAGTCTCAGCTTTCTTATTTTAACAGCCGGCCTCCTTTGTCTGGCAGAATGGATTATCTACCCCACCATCCTTAATGTGTTTCCAGAGGTCTCTAATGAAGACCCTGAGCTTAGAAAACTCAAAACCAGTGCTTCTTTGACTCAGGTTGATTCTCTTCTCTTCTTTATTCAGCAGATTAGGGGCTGGGCATGGTGGCTCAGGCCTGTAATGCCAGCACTGTAGGAGGCTGAGGTGGGTGGATCACCTGAAGTCAGGAGTTTGAGACCCGCCAGGCCAACATGGTGAAACACCATCTCTACTAAAAATACAAAAATTAGCCGGGTGTGGTGGTGCATGCCTGTAGTCCCAGCTACTCAGGAGGCTGAGGCAGGAGAATCTCTTGAACCCAGGAGGCCGAGGTTGCAGTGAGGTGAGACCGCGCCACTGCACTCTAGTCTGGGTGACACAGCGAGACTCCGTCTCAAAGCAAAAAAAAAAATGGAATACAAAAGAGAAGGAGAAAGCAGTAAACGGTAGCATAATTTAAGAAGCTGACCCCAGAATATATTCTGCATTCCATGTTTCTTCTATGGGGTTTAACTTCCTTTCAGTAACTTCTTCAAAGAGGCAGTTCATTCTGCAGTACACTCGTTAAGTCTCCTCTGAACACCCTAGAAAGGTTTTTCCATCAGAGCCTCTATCCAACTGGTTCCGTTCATTAGTTTAGTGGTGGCAATGACATATTCTGTACCTCCATCTTCCAACTGGGAGAGAAATCGCAGGGCAGCAATTTCAGCAAAGGTTACGCCCCCGAGGAAAAATATCAGAGTCACTCTGTTTTCTCCTGGTTGACCTAAAATTTAAACATTTCAGAATTAAAAACTATTTATTACTGGTGCTCCTCTTCCCACCTCTTCAAACATTTTATCATTCACAAGAATAAACAAGTGTCTTCATCCAGACAGTTCATCTGAAACCCAGGAATACTGATTTTGATCTCAATGTTTTTTCTAACTCCTGAGATTCTCAACATAGAAGTTGAAAGCTGCTACCCCTCAGGGAATAATCCGATTCTAGTGCTTACTATATACATTAGCAACGAACAAAAGAGGTATATTTAATTCTGACTCCTAAGTGCTTTACTAAGTATTTTACAAAGCAACTGTACAATACCTGAAAACCACACTAACAGGACATAATTATCTGTAGATGCTGGACTGGGACTTACGTTTCTTCTGCAGTCCTGTGGGCAGTGGCTGTCGCTCCTCAAAGTGGGGCCCTGGGAGGATGCGGAGGACCTCCTCGATGCTCCGCCAGCCAGGTCGGGAAAGCAGCTGGGCCAGCCGCACACTGAGCGGGGCATACCCACTGTACACGTAGGATATGTCCGTGGGGTTCTGTGAGATAATTAAAGAACAAAAATCCTGTAGATACAGAGACTTAGAGCAACCTGACTGTGGCCTTTTGGGTAATCCAAAATTATTTGATTTGGATTTAAAGATAGATAAACAACCCCTACCCCTGCCATGCCCTGTTCTAATCCACCCCAGCAGAGCTCAATTTTAGCAGCCAGAGCTTCACTTTTGACTCAAATCTTGAAAAGCCACTCAAAGCAGCTCTAGGTACAGAAGATGAAAAATTACTTGGTTTGGCATGAAACTTTTTTTTTTTTTTTTTTTGAGACAGAGTCTGGCTCTGTTGCCCAGGCTGGAGTGCAGTGGTGTAATCTCGGCTCACTGCAACCTCCGCCTCCCAAGTTCAAGCAATTCTCCTGCCTCAGGCTCCCAAGGAGTTGGGATTACAGGTGTGCACCACCACTCCTGGCTCATTTTTGTATTTTTAGTAGAGACAGGGTTTCACCATGTTGGCCAGGCTGGTCTTGAACTCCCGACCTCAGGTGAT